TTTTTCTGTTATCCTCTGACACTTGGCACAATTTCTTCCCTTCATTTATGTTGTTATCTTGAAGATATTTACAGGCTATATTCATTTTCCTCCTGAGCTTTCTCTTTTCCCTTGCGTTGCTCTTCTATATTCCTTTTATTTTTGTCTCTCTCTCTAATTTATATACTCCCTATCTTTTCTACTACTAGTGAGGTTTAGTCTCTTGACTAATTTTGTGATCCGTGTGTTTCAGAATAGTGGTAAGTAGCAGAACTGACCTTAAAATGAAGCAAGGGACTCTTCCACAAAAAAAGCACTGCATAATATAGTCACTTTTGCCACACTGTTTTGTACTTTTAATGCACATCAGCAGCAAACTCCTTGTACTGCTAAGTCAGCTCCCCCAGTGATTCAAAGGAATCTACAGCTTTCGTGTTTTGAAGAATTTTTAATCCTACTGCTGTAATTCCCCTTTGGTACATACCTATTTGTAAGCATTCCAGACTTGCATAGGCTGTACTGAACTGTTGAGGAACCTGATTATTTGGTACATGCACACAAGCAGTCAGAGAAACATATCCTCCGTGCATTTCTCACTTTGGATGTTTTCCCACTTACAAAACGGTAGGCCAGTTTGTCAAGTGTATTTAAGCACACTAATGGGCATGTAGGTGTCTAATAGGGTTTTCTGATGCAACTAGGCTGATTGAGTTTCTGCCCCTTAAGTTCTTGTCTTGGCAGTTTACAGCTGAATTCCCTTGAAAATCTGCAGTGTATTCTTGGCAAGTTTGGTGGGGTAGGAACTGCTCTTTTCTGAGCAGCACTGAGAGTGGTAGATACCTGGTCTCACCTCAGCAGCACCAACCTGCAAATGTTTAACAGCAGCAAAACAAAAACAGAGCAAGGGGCCACACAGTGGGAATTTAAGAAGGAATAAGAGACAAGCAAAAGGACACCACAGAATCAGTTAATCTGACAGGAAAGAACTGACAACCAGAAGCATCTTCCTTACTGATTTAAGATGAGTTGTCATCTCTTTTCTTCCCAAATAGTCTGATCAGAAATATACACAAATAAAGAAAAAAAGTTGCAAATATAATGTGTGTGCAAGAATAGACCTCTCCTTGCAATCGCTGGTCTCATATTTGTCTGCCAGTTACAAAGCTTAGCTACCAAAGGACAGCTGCAATCTCAGAATGTGCCTGCACGTGCCATGCCGGGGAAGGTGAATCTGGAGTCTGTCAGATAAAGCATCCGTTTCCAAATGAGTATGACAAGCCCCAAACTGAGGAAGATACAGCTCCTTCCCTCTGAAGCCTCTGTTGTCACTGGCTGCTGTCACCCAGAGAGTTTGGTTTCAGTGTTGTGAGAAACCTTAGGCAATCTCACACAATGCAAGCAAGAAAATGACAGCCTGTGGTGATGCAGCTAGTTTTCCTGATCAACGTGATTGTATGAGCGTGCTGTACTTAGTTATATCGATTTGTCTCTGAGAGCTCTTTCTGCCACATAAATCTCATCGAAAATCTTTAAAGATCTTGCCCCAGAAGGCCACTATGATTTCTTTCTCAGTAAAAAGAAGCAGAGCCAGGAATTCATCTCTCGAAGTTTCAACTAGAATGGCCCATTTATGAACCAGCTCTGAATGCATCTCTATTTTACATTTTGAAACATTTAAGAACAGCACTGCACTTTATGATTAACCTTCACATCTAAGTAGTACTACAAAGAGCTGCATCTATCTCCTCTCTCTTTCTTTCTAGCTTGAAGAGACTTGAAAAAAAGAAAATCACCTTTCTTTCACACCGGGGAATTTGAAGGACCATTGTGCTTATTGTATCTAAAGCACTAAATACAATATATGCCACATTGTAAAGATGCTATTTGTGCTACTCTAGTTAAAAAGACTGATAGTGTTTCCATGAAGAAATTCCTTTCAGGGTATATGAAATGATTTTAAAAAAATAAGTATTTCAAATTAGGCATCAAGCCTCTCAATGCACCCAGAGCTGCTGAAGCACAAAATACAAATTCACACTAGCTTTTCATACAAGTATCAACAAATCTAAGTCATAAACTGTGTCTTTATGCCTGGCAGAGTCATTAGTTCTAATGCATATAGTAGTAAGTATGATGAAATAGAAATAATTAGATGTTTTACAAGGCAAGAACACCTTTTCTAAAAACACATCTGATGATTGATTGATTGATTGTAATATAGAAATAACCTGTCTATATGAGCACATATGTAAGTTTAGGACTATTCAGGTGCAGAACAGCTTGTAGGTTGAGCTTTAAATATTTCAGTGACACTAAATGTTGTTTGAGATTGTTACTTTTTCCTCCTTAAATAATCTGGCAAATTATTTCTTAGCTTTCTCTGTTGCTGTGCACAGATGTAACAGCCTGTTCACACATTGTAGTAGGAGACTGGGGACTTCATTTCTTCTCTCTTCTTCTGAACAAACTAACTCCAAGACCTTTTAGAGCCAATACATGCCAGTGTTATTCATTCACTTAAACAGGGCAGCTTGGTGTAACTTAAATATAATTACCACAAATCAAACAAAGCTAACTTCATAAAATCAGGACATGGCAAATAACATTCAATTAGACGAGCATCCTCATACAGGTAGCAGAGTACTGGATTAATCCGTAACACAAGAAGAAAATAAACAGACCTTGGATTGGCCACTTATTGAATGGGGATACATGAGGACAGAGCCAATTTCCAAAAATCAGGGCTATAACAATTTAAGTTATAGCAGGTTTCAGGATAAGGCGCTAATTGTGTTAGTTAACCCCCTCTAGAGTGTATTTGCTTGTACGTGAGGTTGTTCTCCAAAGCTTATTCACACAAGTTTTCTTTTTTGTCTGCACTGTAAGCAATGTGATGTTATCACAGTAACTAGATGAGAAACCTAATGAAATAAAACAGTGGGGGTTTTGAGGATTGGAGCTGAAAATGCCTAACAATGCATGTGATAATTTTGTCCTGACCATACGCACATACAGCAAAAGCCTGTTAGCATGCAATTCTGATAGTTACCTCCCACTATTTGCCCTGAATGCCTTAATCATATTTTTCAGTGTGTAGCGTGTAAATAATGGTTTACAGGGATGATCAAAAATACGGACAAATTCTTCAGAAACATTGTGATTGTACTAGCCTTTACAACCTGGAAGGGCATTTTCAGAGTATAGTTCACACTGACTAGTGTTTGAATCCTTGTCCTGGAGTCAGAGAAATTAAGGCACAGATCTTGTCCAGACTTAAGCATGCTTTTATTCTTACACACATTGACCTAGCTGTTTGTTTTTTTTTGTGTGTGTTTTTATTTATTTATTTATTTATTTATTTAGACAGTCTTCTGATCTGAGAGTTCTTTATTGGAGAGAAAAGTAAATATGTCTGCTTTTATGATGGTTCAAATTGTGTGTCAACAAAACATTTCTCTAGCCAAACCTCAGCACTTTTCCATCTTCTGTACCATCCATCCCTTTTTATCTTTAGATAGTGCAAATATGGGTGGATCTTTCCTTTCCTTTCACCCTTTTCCATGGCTGATATTAAAGTGGTAGAGGGATAGGAACACAGTGGCAGCCAGACATGGTCTTCAAATGAAAGAGGGCTTCCCGAAACTGCTTTCTGAGCCTTCCTGTTGATGCTGGAGGAATAATACTAGCTTCTCCATTTTCTGTAACACCTTGAACCCCAATCAAGGGACATGCCCTATTTACTAAGGGGTCTAGAAAGAAATTTATTATCTAACTTCACTGCTATCTAAGGGAGAATGGGTAGAAGAAAAGTCAGTCTAACTGGAAAATACTTTCCCCTTGGGTAGTCAAAACATTCTTTTAAATTTGGATTTTCTGACTTCGTCACAATACTGGCTCCAGCAGTGACCATCATAATTCATGCATGCTGGCAGTACTGCACATACCAAAATGTCTTCTGGACTTTAAGATTAAAATGTACCCACTGAGTGCTTAGATTCAAGTACAGTAGCAGAAGGATTAATGGACTGGCTTATAGGGATGAACCAGAATATGGACTAATACCTGACAGGTTTTCAAAAGACAAGACAGAGTAAGATAAGATGGTAGATAGTATACTTGTAGGTGGGGTATGCAGAAGACGAAAGACAGACAAGAACATAAACTGAATGAAACAGACTCTGTAGACTAGCTGTTAGTTCAGTTAGTCTAGATGCTGGTGTGGGCAAAACAGTCTCTTAATTTATTGCTAATAAACCTTTAATTACCATTTTAGGTATTGGGATACAAATACAACAATTAAGCAAACACTCTGGGGAGCCTTCCCCAGGCTCAGCTTGAGTCCAACACCTTTCCCTCTCTCTTCCTCTTCTCCACTCACTCCATTTTCACCAGATATTTCCCTTGGGCCCTTCAGGTCCTTCCATGAGGTGACAGATAGTTACAGGTTTAAGTCATGCATAGCAGTTTATCCATCCCTCCATGCCTCCTCTTCTGCTGCTCTCAGCTTCTTGTATCCTTTGCTCCACTGCAGCCTCCTTTATGGGCTGCTTATGTCCCCCTGCTTATTTCTCCCCAGATGGGTATAGGACAGCACCCCTGCTCCAGGGCAGGGCTCCTCCAGCCATGCCCGCAAAATATCCTGTTCTACTGGCCTCCTCCATTTTGTTTCTCCAAACAATTCTCACCCGCCTCCTTTTACATCTCTTACTGCATCTCGTCTTACATGTCCTCCCATTTTTCCTCCTACTAGCAGCTATAGCCTCTCCTTAAATGTATTTGAGCAAAGGCACCACATGCTCCTCAAACTGAAGTTCTGTCACAAAGCAGGTGTTTTCACCCCTTTCAGAGACAACTACGAGCAGCACGGGGTAGCTCACAGCCTCCTCCCAGGCAACCCCAACTCTGATACTTACAACCAATGCCTTACACCCCTCACCCCTGTTAATCTCTTTTTATCATCATCCCTTCAACATCATGCATTATGCATTACCATTCCTCCTGAACCATAGAGATTGAGACTGTACTGTGCATATCTGCCCTCGGTACGACTCCATCCCTCGCTCCTGGGAGCCAGATTATTCAGATTAACTCTACCATAGGCTGAAGCCTCCTCACACTCCTCATGGCCCCAGAACTGGGCTATGGGGACTAACACTATAACCAACCCAACATGCTCACCAACTTCACCCCTTGACCCTGTAAAACACAACACTAATCACGTTTAACGAGCCTGAACATTACAGTCCCCAACCCTTGTCTCTACAGGCTGGAGTAGCAGCATAATAACCTGAACTTTTATTGCAAAGATCAGGCCTTGGCCCTGAAAAACACTCCCCCAAGGACATTACATATCTCTGAATATTCATCCATTACATCCGTTACCGGAGGGTTTTTCCCCTCCCTGCTCCCAGGGATTGATCTGGATTTGCCGGCTGCCCACCGCACTGACACACATGGTCAGTTCTTCCCCCTGCTCAGCCAAGCAGATCCCATCCCTCCAAGCCCCTGGGAGCACGTGCTGGGCCTAGCACATCCCACAGCACAGCTCCACACTCCTCTCCTTGGGTCTCGCAGACTTCACATCTCCAGGCTGGTGGTCTGGGATCCCACATGGCCCCAAGGCCCTGGCTCTAGGCAGCTGGGACTGGGAAGAGGACACATCCTCCCTCCTCCTTCCCCTCCCACTCAGCAGAAGCTCTCAAGTCCCTGAGACTGCCTCATTTCTCTGTTAGCAGAGCTTGCACCTTCCTCCACCACACCCACACCAAAGGCACTGCTTATACTACAGGCACCACCACGAAGGCACCGTAACTACTGCTAGGGTCTAAATCACTGATGTGACCCCAAACCAGGCCCAGGCCCAGGCCCAAGCCCAGGCCCAAGCCCAAGCCAGGTGCAGCCTGCACCTGCTGCCCATTAGCTGTTTCAAGCAACCCCCTCAACTTGCAGAGCTTAATTTAATTAATTGTCAGTTAATCTGAGCTTTTAATTACCAATTCAGTAATTGAAAAAACAAGGATGACAAACAATTAAAGTAGTACCTAGGGAACATCCTTTCCTCCCTTTTTCCCAGGCTCAATTTTGGTTTAGAACCTCTCCTTCCCCCATTCCTGGTCTCTATTCCCTCCTTTCACCACAGCCTGTTCCCCTCCAGACTGCTGGGCAAGCTGAAGGGCAGCAAAGGGGCTTGGGATCAGCTCAGTGCTATGTCTGCCTGCTGCTTCCCACTTGTTGCTCTTCTGCTCACTTTGTTCCTCTGCATGGGCTCCTTCAGCAGTCCAAGACCCTACACTGCCGTAGGGTAGCCCTCTACCCAAAACACTCCTTAGTACTCACGGATGCTACCTCCCTTTCCCCAAATACCAGCTCCCACCACCTCATGCAGCTCCAGGAGCTTCACAGGCTTCTCAAAACCTGTGCAGGGCAGTGCCCTCACTTCCTCTCATTTGCTGAACTAGAAGTTTCTGCAGTTACTGAAGTGGCTGGAATGGGCCTGGGCCAGCTAGGACCTGCCTTGGGAGGGGTCAGCTCATAGCCTTCTCCCACACCACCCCAGCTGTCTCCAGCCTAGCTTTTCTGCTAGATACAGCAGGGCACCAAGGAGCAGTGGTCAAAGCTGGTGCCAAATAGCTGTTATATACAGTAGGGAGTTTGGCCTTTGAAAGGAATTGGGAGGGAAGAGGGAGTCAGCTGACAGGATCTGGTGCTGTCTAGGCTGAGCTTCTTGGGCTTTTTGTTTATTTGTTTGTTTTTGCAAGAAAGCGGCTAAGGGACATTGAAGTGAAATGCTGAACTCTTGGTACAACATTTTATATTCTCCATTCTTCTTGCTGGATGTCTTTCCTTCCTCTCTGGAGCAGCTGCTACCACCTGAGCCTGTTCACCCTGTGCTTGGCGTGAGTCATGGGGCAGTGAGCTGTGCACATTTTGGGAGGCCCCTTTTGCTCCTGGCAGATCTAGAGATAAAATTCTACTGGTGCCTGTGATCACACTCCTGGGCCAGGTGGAGATTTAGTATCAAAACATTCAAAAGTTCTGCAATTCTGAAAAGTTCTTCAAACTTTCTGCGGTAAAGTATATGAAGTATCTGTTGCCAAGAAAAGTACCGATCTGTTGTCTCTGGGGCATTTCTAATCTATATTGTATTACCAGTTGATTAAATATGAAGATATTAGAATTGTGAATCTCAAAGTTTAGTTTGATTTCTCTCTGTTGCTCTAAAACAACTGTTGAGACTGTTCAGAGAAATGTTGACAATACCAGAAAACAGCAGAATCAAAATAGTATTATAGCTGCTGTTTCCAAGGATGTGAATGGGGCAAGAAGAAAATGCTTGTCGTTAGATTCGTAACTGGCAAATGTTGTAGATGGGCAGAATATGAGAAGTTTCAGGCTAAGTATTTTGCCTGTTTTTCCTGTGTTCCTGTACTCAAGTTGATAGAAAAAAAGCATGGAATATGCGCAAGCCACTAGTGTTTAGTGTGTGTGTAAATCGTGGGTATCTCTCCATGAGCTGGTGGCATTCTTGGGAAGCCAAATAGAAAGGCAGAAGTCTGCTCCCTGTATGTGTATGTAATGAAGGGTGCAGCTGGTGCTGGAAACCATAGGTTTGATGCGTTTGAGCCCATGATGAAAAATGGATAAACAAGAGAATGCAGGTTGTGTACTGAAGAGACATGGCTCATCTAGCCCTAACGTGCAGCAGTAATAGGTAACTTGTTCCTCCTCTTGATGGATTCCTCCCTTTTCTCTAGGCTTTCTGCCTTTGGCTATAGGTTCATGCTCATCTGAGAAGATGTGAGAAGAGCTGGGATTGAAGTGAGCAGGAGGAGGCAGAGAAAACCTGAGTCCTTACTGTAGTTAAAAAAAAAGCCGGGTCACCTGTACAGAGTTGAGCAGACATGGATCTAGGTCTGTTCTTTTTTTCTAGCAGGAATCCTGTGATACGTATGGGAGAAAAGTGTGTGAGACAAGTGGCGGCGTAATCCTTCTGCTGACCTATCCTCTGTGCACATCCAGTAAACGCAGTTTAGGGTTAGACAGTTGAACCCTGTTTTCTAATTCTGTCACTATGTTGGCTTCCACAAAAAAATCTCATTTTTTCATTTATCAGAGTTCTCTCATTCAGCACTCCCTTAGATGACTCATTACTACGGTTTGGACTTATTCTTTGGGGGGCATTTTTGGTTTTGTTTTATTTTGTTTTATTAAAGGAGGTTTGAGAATTTGTTTGTTCTAATAAGCTGCAGCTGTAATTGGGAAATGGGCTAAGCTTGCTTCCAATTAAGATAATTGATGTGAAAAACCCAATTGTGTCCTGAGAGAAATAACTTCCCCAACTGAGTTGTAAAAGGCAGCAGCTTTGTCTAACAACGTAGGTAGAAGCAGATGTTTAGAAAAACATGTAAAAGCAATCAGGAGGGGATTTACTCATTTGTTTATTAATTAAGATGCATGCATGAGCAGACAGCCAGGAGAAGTCTGAGTTAAGGAAAAAGGCAGAGTTCCAGGAAGAGCTTGGAAGGAAGATGTATGTGCTTAGCTCCTGAGGATTTTGTTTTATTTATTTTTTATTTTATTTTTCCTAATACAGGGGGAAGCACCCCAGAGTTTTTTGTAAGATTCAGGTCAGCAAGCCACCTTACATAAAGTATTTATGATCCTCTTTCCTCTGATTTGAACAAGTCTCTTCTCTTTTGTTTAAGGAACATAAGATGAATGCATGCTGTGGCCCTGTTAGGCCATGAGTATCTCCTCAGCTAGTAAAAATAAACATGGACCTGTGCACTCTCTGACTTGCCAAAGTTAAAAAATGCCTAATGGTACTAGAGCAATTCTGATAGTAGGTAACCGACAACCTCAGACACGTCAGAGGTTCCCCTTCTATTTTGTGGAGAATAGGGAAATTCGGATCAGCTTTTCTCAGGGGAGGGAGAAAAGGGCTTAGGGACCTGATGTAGAAACAGATGGTTGCTGAGAATGTTTTAGTTGGTATGGCCAGTTCAGAGAACAAGAAAATGTAGAGGATGATTATTAGCTGTGCCAGAGAACAGGGAAAGAAGTTCATAGAATCATAGAATGGTTAGGGTTGGAAGGGACCTCTAGAGATCATCTAGTCCAACCCCCCTGCACACGCAGGATCACCTAGAGCACGTGGCACAGGGTGGCATCCAAGCAGGGTTTGAAGATCTCCAGAGAAGGAGACTCCACAGCCTCTCTGGGCAGCCTGTTCCAGTGCTCTGGCACCCTCACTGTTAAAAAATTTTTCCTTAAGCTCCTGTGGAACTTTTGGTGCTTCAGTTTGTGGCCATTACCTCTAGTTCTGTCGGTGGCCACCACTGAAAAGAGGCCAGCACCATCCTCCTCGCTCCCTTCCTTGAGGTACTTCTAGACACTGATCAGATCCCCTCTCAGCCTTCTCTTCTCCAGGCTGAACAGGCCCAGCTCCCTCAGCCTCTCCTCATAGGGCAGATGTTCCAGGCCCCTGATCATCCTTGTAGCCCTGAGCTGGACTCTCTTCCAGCAGCTCCACATCCCTCTTATAATGTGGAGCCCAGAACTGGACACAATACTCCAGATGTGGCCTCACCAGGGCTGAGTAGAGGGGCAGGATCATGAAAGTTAGAGAAAATACTTCAAAAGATTCAGATAAGAGTGTGTCGTTTTCTTCCCCCTCTCTCTTTTTTTTGGATTTCATTTACAGGATCAAAAATAATGCCATAGAAGATCAGAGATGGAGGGATGAACACTGAATTCAGATCTTTGTTGGCACTTGGCTGCTTGTGTAAGTGATCATTCCAACAATTTTTATGCAAGAGTAAAAACTTGGTGAAATGTATTGCCTATTTCTTTGGTTTCCTTGTTTGAGCTGTCCTTGAAAATCTACACTGATGGTTAACACTTTTCTGAGTGAGATACCATAGGCATTAGTGGTTTATCTAATTAACTTAGTCTCTGTGATGACTTTGATAATATTAATGAAAGGTGAATTTTGGGAGTTCTGTGATTTACGTGTAACTTTTTTTTGAAGGGGGTGTGGGGCGGAGATCATTTTATACAGATAAAATTGGTAAATGAGTGGCTGAGAAAGGAATGCTTCACTGAAATTCCAGCCTTTATTTCACTCCTCTTTGTGCCTGAGGTGCTCCCTGATACAGTAAATTAAATAAGAAGATAAGAAATATATCTGATTCCTCTGTCCTGCAAAGCAGCAAAGTGATAGAGTCCTTGATTGTATTTCTGTCACTCAGACCCCCCCCAGCATATGTGGAGGATTAAAGATACTGGGCTACCTATCAGCAGGTGGCCATCAGGGATTCTTGCTGTGACTAATGTGCTTGCTCAGAAGATGAGGCACTGAAGCTGACATATTGTGAAATTTCTTAGGCCTGCTCTGATTCAAAAGCAGCGGAACCAAGGCACAGGGTAGCTGTGTTCTTTGTGTGCTTGCACCTGCGTGTGTCTCCGTACAGAAGGGCTCTTCTTGAGATCCACCAGAGATTGCATGATGTATAGGCTAATTTCGCCGAAGAGTGACAAAAGTCGTTCTTTGGATTTAATTTATAAACTGCATACAAGTTTCAGTATTAGACTGGTTGCTTGTTTTGGTTATTTTTAGTGTTTTTGATTATATGCTGCTTTGCTATGAGTTTTGTGCTTTGCCATCGTGCTTAGCCAATTCCACAGATAAAGGTAGATACTTCATTTATGAAATGTTAAAATGAATAATTTTCTCTGGAGGCTGTTCTCCTTATACAAAAGGATATTGCAAATGATGTTTAGAATCTTCATAAGTTAAGGCAGTCCTTTAGTGTTTATGGAGCACTGCAAGACAAATAGCTGAGCCATGACATTATAAATTATGATTTTTATATGCTTCAGAGAAAATGTTCCACACTCTTTACTTGGGCAAAGCTCCTGCTAACTTTCAGGGAAACCTTGGACAGTGAAAATATGGCATGTGATCATATATTAATATAGTCCTCAAAGTAATGATCACTCTTTTTGGGGGGGGCCTCATCAATCACAGAGCACTGATCCTAGTGCTCTTACAGCATTTTGAAAGCCAGGCAGGCATTTGCAAATGGCGTTTGAAAGATTGAGCCAATTGAGCCAATTCACACCTATGTCTTGAAGTAACTATAGAGTTTTTTTTTTTTGTCTCGCCTTTATGATAGCTTTGTGAATACAAACCATAGATTGAGAGAACTAGGAAAAAAAAACAAGTTAGAAAAAACAATTTATTAAGTAATATCATATAAATAACTTGTTACAAAAATCAATTTGCAAAAAGGCAAATTCACTCTATCTGTGAGAAATCATTGCTCAAATTGGTTTCTCATTAAATTCATAAATTTCTTCCTTCCCCACCCCACCCAGAAAAGCCATTACAGTGAACAAGAAATATAAGGGAGAGCGTGCACACTTGCCATCTGACCATACCAAGCTGCCCAGCCACGCTGCAAGAGAGAGAATCATTCCAGCATGGGTCCCTTTGCCATACAGGGAAGCTCCTAGGTGAAAACCTCTTGGGTGATGGGAGCCTTATGGCCCACAAATGTTCCTCCGTGCTGACCGGTGACGGGTCCATGCGGTGCTCCGGCTCCTTCGCGGACCAAGGGCATGACATTGCGAGAGACTGTGCGGATGGAGTGTGCCAGCAAGCAAATCCTCCCAGGTGGTGGCATCATTTTCAATTTATGCTCGGAAATATTTTTAATTAAAAAAAATCAATACCGAAAAGTATTTATTTTAAGGGTTTAAAAATCACAAATTGCAATAGGAGTTTGCCAGATTCATTTAGCTCAGTAACACAGTTAAGATGCACATAGCATTTATTATAAGGCCTTATTTTTTTTTTAAGTTTAATTCTCAAAGCAATGAAAGTAATCTCAGAATTAAAATAGTACAGTGATTCTGAAGAGTTTTTATGTGTCAAAATCCAAGACAATTTCATGTTTGTAGTGTTGTTTCTTTGTTGTTTTTACCTGAATGCTTAATAATTCTATACATTTGTTTCTTTAATAAACACTGAAGTAATAGATCATAGAAAACTAAAAGCTTATAGAAAGTGTCTCCAGGTATATTTACATAAATAGTGCAGTCTCGTAGGAAAGGTCAAAAGCCTGTTGGAATGGAAAGGATTTCTCTATGTGCTGGACTTGCGCCTTTTTTTGTCAAATTAACTTTGTGGAAGGGGAATTTTTTAAAGTAGCTCCTGTCTTTTTTCTTTTTCTTTTTTTTTCTTTGTTTTCCCCCTCCTTTTTTTTTCAAAGAAAGAAAAAGACACATGCAGAAGAAATTAGAGCAAGTTCTGTAAAAACTCCTTTGAAATCTCGTAACTAGGCATAATATGACAGCTTAGTGGCTTTTAAGTGCCATGGGCCTGCCTTGTGTATGACTGATTACTTTCTACGTGAAATCCCATGCAATTAATTTTCTTCTCTTCTTCCTGAAACTCCCCATTTTCTGACTCTTGGATGCCCTATAACCCCAGACACACTTTTCTTAAATACTTACTGCTCAATTTTATGAGCTGTTCACGACAAATACAGATCTGGACCAGAAAGTGTAATATTGGAGAGTGATGGGCACGATCAGGATTGCCTCGGCCTTGCTGAAATAAAGTGACTGAGAGGACAGACAGGCGTTAAGATGGGAAATCCATCTTGCTCCCTTTCTCAAGCGAGTTGACTGCTGTGATTTTTCGCCGCCTGCCAGAGCAGCGCGTGAGGCTATAGACCTAAGCGAGCATTTCTTCTTCCTCTTTCTTAAATACAGAAACTGTTCTTTCCAAGTACCACAAACTCTAATGTTGCGGCTTTGGCATTTGTTGGAGGAGGCTGCTCTTTCACAGCTCTGGAGGGGCTGAACGCTGCCATCCACAGCTACCTGCTCAGGACCGCGGGCCTCAGTGCACTGAGCACTGCTACAGCAGGCCATCAAGATAGCCCGTTGCAGAAGGTTAACAAGCTTCGGTCGGAATCACCAGAAAGTTGCACCGCTTCAGCAACTGTGGGGACTTTCTTCCCTAGAGATTTGAATCAAAATAGCCTGAATTTCTTTTGCTTGTTCAAAAAGCAGATATTATCTTGCTCTCTGTCCATGCGAATCTCTCGCTGACTGTTTTGGGAATTCTGGAGGTGTTAGAAATGGCTCTGTGCTATAGTAGCTGCTCAGCATGGATAAGTCTGATTTAGAAATGTGTCCAGTTGTCGATGTTCATTATTTTCTATTCATACTCTGCAAGTGTACTTGTGTACACACATTCCCATAGCCATTTCTCCCTGCTCCACTTGTTTATAACCATAACACTTTTTATGAGATTACACAAATTTGGTTAACTGTCTTTTTTTCTTTCTATGACAGAGAAATAAAGATGTTGTGCCTTGTAATGCAGCTTGTTACTTGCAAAACGCAATAATTTGAAGACTGCCTCTCTCGTTCATGTTTATCAGCTATGAAATACCATTTCACAGAGTGAAGACCTGACAGCTAACAAATATGTAAAATCCCTTTTCTTCTTCTGGAATAAAGTGGCCACTTTGGGAGTTGGAGTGGAATAGTTATACTGGAATGCTTTGACTATTATAACTGTAGAGACGTTATTGTTCTGCAATAGCAAGGCTGGGAATTTCACCTATGTAAACAGACCCTTATTTCATGTTAACCCCACAGAACTCTTTCTCGTTGTTTTTAATAACTCCCCTGCCTTTAGATCAGACATTATTCCAAATTCAAAGTGAACTGCATTGCTCATCTCTGCCTAAATTGGCTAACTCACTTAACATTGTTTCTAGATGTGATTCTAACAGGAGCAGCGTTTCTTAACATGACCTTAAAAATACTTTGTAGCCCATAATCTAACGCTTGTTTATTCATAAATGACAATTCTACTGCTGTGTGAAAGCATCTCAAAATACGTGTTTCTGTATCTTCTAGCAGTATGGCATGCAACAAGGTGAGAAGAAATGCTACTGCAAAGCTTTGTATTCACTGCAATGTAGCATTTTAAATATTTAATATGCAGTACCTATTTTATAAATTGCACTTTGTGGTACCACCAAGAAAGAAGGAAAGTCAGAATTAAACTCTTGCTGTGCGTGAAAGATCCGCCTAATTTGTGGAACAAAAAGACCTCAAGACCTAGGTGTGCAAATAATAATTCAGATGTGAGTTATGCATTTTCTTTTTTTTTTCTGTTTTTGTTTTTGGCAGAATCTGTTTGCTATTCAGATACCACATTTGTGGTGTCGTTACATAATTTATATAAAATATATTTACACAGCAGGCACAAGTAACCACTTGAGTAGTCAAAAAAAAAAAGAAAGAAAAACTTGAGCTCAAAGTGCTACTAGAATCACTAAATCAGACAAAAACAGTGTACGAGCATAGGAAAACAGTTACAAGGGCACCAGTGATCCACCCCTCTCTTGTTATTCCACTCCAAAGAGTGACTAAGGCAAGTTTACTTGCAAGTTGGTCCGCTCCTTTCAGGACTAAGGACAGGCTCCTGTATGGAGTCTTTGGGATGGGAATGTCTTATGAGGCCAAGTGTATGGGCATTCACAGGTCTGAAAGATCTAGGAGCCCCTTGGCACCCGCTCCTCATGCAGCTCTGTTTCTTGGGAGTCTGTGGAGGGAATGGGAGTGTTCAGTGGCCCCCGGCATCTTGTGTCACTCCCAGTTTGATGCAGGTTGCTCCGGGCTCCCAGGTCTGCGAAGGGCAAGAAATAGGCACCTGTCCTATGGATAGCACCATCCTGTCTATAATGCGGGGCATCTCTGAACCACTAGCCACCTTGATTTAAACCCGTAATTGTGAAACGATCTCTACTGCAAAGGAGTCCTATCCAGTCATGGGTGGGCACCTCTGTGTAGACTTGTGTCCTTTTAGCTGTGAGATGGTCTGCAAAATATGAAATAGTGTCAGCAAGCTCATAAAGGTTTAATACTCTGGCATCCTACTACTCCATTTAACTCTGAGTAATGAATTCCAAGGATTAATTTTTTAATCCCTTTTAATTTTTCTGTTTATGAACTTCTTTTTCTCCCTTTCATTTTTTGAATAATTTGGAGCTTCTGGTTTTCAAAATGATTCACTGAAGATTCTTGCAGGGAGTGGGGGTGGAGAACCGGTCCACGACTGTAATTCTGGTATGAAATACCATTTCAAAAATGAAATAAATGAAATTACTGGGCAGGAGAGAATGTACACACACGCAACCCCCTGCCCCTTTCCTTTGTATGGTATCACTGTGGGACTCAGGAGTGGTTTTAGTTGCCAGAGCTGGGGGGCCCCAAGGCTGCTCCTCTGGATTTCCTCCAAATAGCCTCTCCTAAGTAGCTGGATTTGAGTAGCAGCCACTGCTTGTTCTTGACAAACCAACAGGAGTCCTGGCTGGTGCACAAACTCTAAGGAAAAGGTTTTGCTCTGAGTACTGCAGCATTCCCTTTTTCCTTGCCCCAGCTGGGAGAAAAATTCCTTAGTTTGGCAGAGTGGATTAATACAGCCATGGAGGACTTCGGTTTAAAATGCTGGCTTTTGATGAAGTTTTTAACAACCATAGCTGACTAGTTTATTAAGAGAATTATAGTTATAAACCCTACTTTCCAGGCCTCTGGAATGACAGTTGATTCTCACTTGCCCATTTAGAGCCTGAAATGGCATTAAAAAAAAAAAAAAAAACTACTCTCCAAAGATGAGGAATTACTCCCTATATTACTCCCTACGGCAGAATGCCAGCATCTTCTCTCTCTAAAGTATTTTGCAAATGACTTGTCTAATCCTTGCACTTCCTGATGAGGTAGGCGTTGTTTTCCCCAGGTTACAGATGGCAAAACTGGGCAGAGAGTCAGTCCGAGAGCCACCTTGGGCATCTGAACCGGGGAGGTCAGGGCAGGAAAGCACCTTTCCTCCCGAACAGCTGCTTCTCTTGCCCCAGTGGGGTGGGAGGGCGAGAGCTGTCACTTTATAGTGGCGGCCCCCTTCCTGCACATACGAACAGGCAGAAGTAAATGGATATGAGAAGCCCGACTCCCACACCTCCAGCACAGCGGCCAGCAAGTGGAAGCCATCGGAAGTAGAAAGAAAAGCTTTAGTTCTGCTCGTTCCTCCAAGTCACAGTCTAATCTGGACTAGAATTAGAGGATTTGCACCCTATCACAAGGCAAGTCCTGGGATACTGTCTCATAATTAGATATAGGGGCTGCTGACCGCACACACATGCATGCACGCACATCTCTCCAGCAATGCTAGGTCAGAAGAATATATACATAGCAGTCAATGAAATATATATATGTGTGTGTTAGTATGATTCAGTGCATTGGGGCAATGGAAAGATCTAGAAAAACACTTAGATTTGAATGACTATTAGGCCTGTCTACCTTCCCCATGAGTAAAATGTGTATTTGATGTTTTTTTTTTTTTTCTCAGCTGACTCTACTTGTGTAATAAACCTCCATTCCACCACCACTACTTTTGACTATAATACATAGGTTAAACTAGGGTACCTTCATTACATAAGGATGTGCAATACACAATCAACAGAGCAGTTGTCTGAGCTGAATAATCTGAATACAAGTAAAAAGAGTAAGTGAGCTTAAACAGTTATATACTCCGATTTACAATATAAGCAGAACAAGTAAAAATATTGCTCCCATCTGATCCTTTTTTTTTCCTTTTTTTTTTTCCTCCTCTACTGATGTGCCTGTAAGACTTGGTAAACTGGATACACTAGAAAATAATAACTTTGCCTCTTGGAAGCTCATAAAATGATGCTATAGAAAAAGGTTTCGGACAGTTGAGCCACACAGACTGCAGTCATTAGACGATTAGAACTGGTAGAATAGAGAACCCGTTCACAGAGCTGGGGGGAAATAGAAAGAAAGAGCCACTTCACGTATCTCAATGCTGTTTCTGAAAATGAAAAAAAAGAAAAAAAAGGCAGCAAATTAAGAGTCTTTGTCGCTGTCCATGGTGCCATACATGTCTGCCAGCTTTTTGAACCGAGGCCCCCAGTCGCTGAGGTAATCGTAGTCCTGATCTCCGTCTGTAGTCACTGACTCCAAGGAGCTGAGAGACTCTGCCACAGAACCGTTGCCTTCGTACGCGTATGTCGCTAGCGAGTCGTACGGGGGCGCCGTGGGGTCCGTGTCGTTCTCCTTTAGCCTTTGGTTAATGAAATCTCTGACATCCGTGTTGTCTCGCGCTGCTGCAGTCCGCCGTGGCATGAACAGCGTTTCCGGCACAATGTCTCTGCGCAGCTTGTTGTCGTCGATGGCTTCGGGGTTCCGCAGCGTGCCGATATCGAACGCCTGGGTGTCTTCCTCTCCACCGCCTTCGTCATTGTAACTGACGATGTTGTCCCTGATGTCCTCTTTGGAGATTATCAAGGGCTCTTTCTTCCGTTGCCGTCTCAGGGCTGCAAACAGCACCACTGTGACTGGAAACAAAAACAACAGAGGGAGAGAGGGGGGTGCGTTAACCCCTAACTCTATTAACACCCATGAGAAATGCTGCACCGCTTGAACTCCAGGTTGTAAAACACGTTCTGCAAAACTGCAAACGCAAACGTTGGGTTTTCAGATTGCGCCTTGCCTGCCTGTGTGTGCCTTGTGAAATGAGATGTCGTGGATATGCGCTATAGGAAAGGAGATGGCAAGTGTGTAAGAAGCTAAGCAGAGCATCGTTTCGTCAGAGGTCATGGCTTTTACCTAGAGACCTTTTGCATTGAAAACAGACTTAGTTTGATAAGAATTGGGGAGGGAGGAACACCTTCAAAAAACAGGTAATAACATCAGATGTTAATTACCTTGAATGTCAGGGGTGAGATGAAAATTGTGCTAAGGTTAGTATCTATGGGGCTGCCATGAAAGGTTAGCAGGACTGCACTGCAAGAACAGTAAGCATCACAGAATCAGAATCATAAAATCATTGTGGTTGGAAAAGACCTTCAAGATCATCAAGTCCAACCATAAGCTCTATTCCTGCTAAATCATGTCTCATCTACATGTTTCTTGAACCCTTCTAGGGATGGTGACTCCACCACTTCCCTGGACAATCTGTCCCAATGCTTCATCTTCTTCTCCAGAAAAAAAGTGTGAAATGGGATGGATTCTGAACCAGCACAAAGTACTGTTAACTTTCCTGGCTTTTTTACAATAAACATCCCATTAAAATAGCTTAATTCTTAACGAGTGATAGGATATTGGTATTATTTACTCTACTAAGGTCAGGAGATTTCTCAAACAGGCCTTTTAGGCTGTATACATCTATATAAAAACAGTATGTCTTATGCGTTATTATAAAGTGTGTGCATATATATA